CAGCGCGAGAGGGAGCACAAGCAGGGGCAGTGGGAAAGGGAGAAGCAGGCTTCCCGCGCGACTCTGGGATCATGACCTGAGCTGAAGGCAGACGCTTAACGACTGAGGCACCCAGGCGCCCATAAACTGAAACTCTTAAGTCATTACTCCTGATGCATTTGTATCAAGTAAGAGGAGGGAAATAGGGTGGAAATTTGGTCACTGAAGGAATGTGATTTGGTGGCAGTAGTAGGTCAAAGGTATTCTGAGGTTGAGGATGATTACAATTTCCAGAACCCGAAGCCTCTTAAGAGTTTGTATTTGAGTCTTTTGCCAAGGCTCAGTCAGGCTACCTGCTGCCTAACAGAGGGAACCAGATCCTCTGTCCTTACCACTTGCATGAGGTTGATCCCAACAGTGGAAAAGGCACATTCATTTTCTTCCCTTCTTCAAAGGTTAACCATACACCAATAAAAATCCTGCTGGTTCCGCCATAGAAAAACCAGAAGACATTATAAATGAATCAGACCTGGAGAAAGGAGGGCTTTCTAAGCCTTAGAAAAGACTGTTTGCATTAAAAACTTTAATCAAAAACTTTGTTTTTTAAATCAAAGACTATTTGATTACATTAAAAACTTTTGAATTCTGTAGGTCAAATAAAAGTCAGCCAGAATTGTAAGGCAAAAGAGATCATGCAATTTCTTAATTACAGTTGACACAAACAGTTAATTTGTAAAAATAAACATATAGAAAACTGTTCCATATCGCTAGCAATTAAACAAATGCAAAATAAGTTATTTATTGCATATACCATTATAGATAGTTATTTGTTTATTAAATTGGCATACTTCATTATTTGTTAAATTAGCAAAGTCTCTCCCCTACTTCAACCCCATCCTCTGATCTGATATGACACAGTTCTCTATAAAAAGGGACAGTCTCATTGTTAGTAAAGTACAATTCTTTTAGAAAGCAGTTTTTTTTAAACACTGTTTCAAAGTAATCATACCCTTTCTGACCAATAATTGAACTTCTGATAGTCTCTCCTAAAGTAATAATGTTAAATATGGACAAAAGTTATTGATTGTAGCACCTTTCTCTAAGGGGGCAAATATAAACTCTGGTATATGCACTCAAATATTATGGAATCATTAAGTAACGTTTAATCCTGAATTATAATTAGTTCTGGGTATAATTTAAAGATTATTATTAAAGCAAACAAAATGCTAATATGCTTGCAATTTTATAATTTGAAAAGTTTAAAGAATAACAACCAGTGGCATTGTGGATATGTGGGAAGGGACTAGAAAGTAGGGACACCATTTAAGAGGTTATCTTAATATTCCATGTGACGGATGAAGTTCTGCATGGTGGTAATGAGAATGGAACAGAGAAAAAATTTATGAAACATGTCAGATTTTTTTTTTTAAGGACTTAGTGATTGACCAAAGGTCAAGGGTATCTCAAATGTTTCCATTTAAGTGATTGGACATACAACGATAGTAAGGTGGAAGCAATTTGTAGGAGGATCAGTTTTGAATGAGGGAAGAGTGTGTAGTTTTAGAATTTGGGGTTTGAGATACCTTAAACATACAAGGTTAAGTTGTAATTATGGGCCGTCTGCTTGTAGGTGAAAATGGGGAATTTGGAGCCATGGGGGTACTTAAATGGGTTAGAAGGAGATCTGGTTTAGTGGAGATTAAACACACACACACACGAGAGAGAGAGAGAGAGAGAGAGAGAGAGAGAGAAGGAGGAGGAGACACAGAGACACAAGAGAGGGGCAAAAAAAGTGGAGATATTGGCACCCACATCTTAATTACAGCAACACCAACCTCTGGTTAAATTCAAAGCTTTTTCAGAAGCTGAATGGTTTACTTATCATTAATCAATATTTAAAGCATTTAAATGATGAAGAGTGCAGGATGATTAATTGAATAAAATAATGTTATTGCTGTTTACTTGACAGTGACTGCAAAGCTTTCTCAGAATTTGGTATAGTTATCAGAAACATAAAGGAAGTATGTTAAGTGGAGTGGATTTTTTACTAATTTATTATTGAGCTTTAAACACGAAGTTCAGATTAACCTAATTAACCAAATTAACCTAACTTCAACTTCTGTCATTTTACCCTACCCCCTTTCTCATTTGATATCTTATATTCTACCACTTAAACCATTTTCTTTGAGATGTAACATTTATTCATGGTGCCCTACTTTCTGAGGTTACACATCACTGAATTCATGTGCAAGTAGCTCATTGCTTTGCAGACAGTAGGTATTCGAGATTTTGAATTGAACAACTCTGCTCTTAAAAATAACATCTGTAAGATTTTGGCTATGGGAGAAATCTCATCACTGCCACTGATTTCCCCGCTTTCCCTGGTGATACATTCAGCTTCTGCAGACTGAACAAATTCTACGTAAATACAGTTGGGCTTAACACAGCAAGTCAAGAACCTTGTTTTAATATCTAAATCATTTAATCATAAATCATTTAATCTATCAAATCTATTTTTATTTCACTGATTGTTTAAATGGAACTGTTCTTCCAAACGAGGAATGAAGAAGTTATTAATTCCTAGTATTTTAGTGCTTTTATTGATAAATTTAGGAAAATGTGAACGTAAATACAGAGCAGAAAGTTCTGTCTTGTTTGGAGCTGTGGAGAAACAACAGTGGAGCAATATATTAGATTTTTTTTTCTTTTGCCACTCTTAAAAAATTAAAACCTAAAATATTTTCAGAAACCCAATCCATTTTCCAAAAAACGTATCAGGCATGCTTAAGGAGAGTTGGTATTAGTGGTTAATGTTACCTTTTTTTTAAGCGGTTAATGTTATTTTAGTGTGTTTTTTCAGTATTTCATGGATTTAAAAAGTGGAGGTATTTAATCTTTTTTAAAATTTTTACCTTGTGCGAAATAGCATAACAGGTCAGTTGTTTTTCTCAACCATGATATTCCAGGCTACGTTTATCATATGGACTCAGAAGTCCCTACTCTTACAGTTTGTTAGGTAAAAACAAAAGAATGCTACTTTTTCCTTTTACCTTCAGTGGTCCCTGGAGCTGCACTTTCGCTCAGCCTCAGCGTTGCCAGGCACCTGCCATTTGCATCTTCCTCTGTTAATTGTGTGGCAGGTTCATACTGCAGGATCGCATCCAAATCATGAAAGAACTTCATAGTTTTAGAGCTGTCTCCAGAGTTATGAGCATATTTAACTGTTCTGTATTCATATTTGAGATTTTTGTACTTTGCCCGGCACTGTTTCCAATCTCTGTATACTCCTAGTGCTTGCAGCCTTTTAGCAATGTAAATGAATATTCCTTTATTTCTCAGGGTTCCATAAAGTTGTTCTCGTATATTTTTTTCTGCCCAGACACTAAGCAAAGCTTTAACCTCTTCTTCAGTCCAGTGCTTTCCTGCTCCACTCTCCATGTTGAAAGTGACCTGGAAATGATTCACTATTTCTAGCCAAGGTTTTGTTTCCTAGGAAACCAGACGGCTGGTTGTCAATAAGCTCCAAAGAGCTGAAAAGATCTAGTTTAACTGGTTCAAGCTGCCTGAGGGGAGTAACTTGAGAAACTGCCAAATAAGCAGGCTTTGTGATTAAAGAAGCCTGAACCTAAATGATTACTAACGTTTTTCATTTCAGCCTTAAGGGAAAATTACCCTTGAGATGAAAGGGAAGGAAAACCATTTTTTTATTTCTTTTCTTACATAATTTACTCTGGTTTATTAAATGATTGTTGATTTTAGAAAAATTATTTTAGAAGTGGTTGGCAGAGGTTCTTTCTGCCTTAAGATTTATGGCTAACGTTTTTTTCCCCTCTGATATGAATCACTTAGTCTTCTAGCATAGGTTAACATTAAAGACCACATCATTTCACTAAAGAAATCCTATGTCACAAATGACCCAGTCTTATAGGGTGTATAGTATTATGCATGTCTATTTAATGTATTGATGATTTAATAAAATTTCAAATTTAATTTTTTTAGGTTTTTGCTTTGTGGGTATACTTAATGTTGTAGTTTTTCTTGTTATTAAAATACCTAAACAACTACAGCATGTAGTTTAGAAAAAGATCCATTTTACCAAATAAGTCAATATATTAATTATTAATGTATACATACATATATTAGAGATTTACTTTTTATTTCTACCGTGATATATATTCTTTTGAACAAAAATTTGTTAATATTTATAGCATTTGTTCAGAACTATTAAAAATTGTGGAGCATTTAGAACCTTTATTTTATCATTTGATACTCCACAGTAGTACAGATCCTCTTAAGTCTTACCGTGTGTTATGCTACCTCTGGCCTAGCTTTTGGCTTTCTTTATATCGTCACCTAAAAATACTAACACAGGAAATGAAATACAAAGTGCCCGATCAGCTTAGGATTTTTAGAAGCAGCATTTATTTTTTTGGTGATAACTAAAGTGATAGATACATGTTGAGAAAAAAGTGGAAAGTGCAGAAAAGCAAAGCAAAAACCTCAAAAATAAATGAATTTTGTTCATGGTTCTATTACCCACCACTAGGCATTTTACCTGCTAATTTATTTGGAGATTTCCATTTATATCTACATACTCAACTTTATTTAGAGGTCACATAGGACAGAGATGAGAAGCAGAAGTTCTCTAGTCAGACTGTGTTCTCATCCTGGCTCTGCCACTGCTCTCTGTGTAACATTGGGCAAGTTACTTAACCTCCGTTTCTTTAGTGTCCTTATCTGTAAAATGGGAATGATAATCATAGTATCTATTTCAAAGGATTGTTGTGAGAGCCTGATAAATTAGATTATTCATGTAAATGCTTAGGACAGTGCCTGGTGTGTCAGTTGGAACTCAGACACTATCATCTGCTGCTTGCTAGTCACATCATCATGAGTCAAGTGGCACTAGCATGTAATGTGTTGTCAGTTCCTGGATGCTCTTGAGAAAAGTATGCTTCTTAAAGAAGCTTATCAATGAGGTAAATTTATATTTAACAGTTAATGCCTTTTTATATTCACAGGGGTCAGGAGAGTGCTGGTATTGTGACCAGCGATGGGAATTCAGTACCAACATTCAAAACACACAAGGTATATTTGAACATAATGAAATGTTGATAATAAAGATAACAACAGCCAGGTGATAACTCGTATGTTGGTGGGGAAAGGAAATTTGAATAAATAATTTGCATATAGAAGTCATACTCTGATCAGCCGTTTCCATTTGTCAAATGAGGGTGCATTTCTTTCCGCGTGGTAGTTTGTTAGACTGACTCATTGAAACAGGTCATTTACTTAAATATTTTAACATGCTTTGAATTTTTAAAATGCAATTGATTTAGTTGATTATATTCGACAAATTTTATTGTTTAGTACATCTGTTCTTCAATGTTTTAATGAAAAGAATCTCATGAAACAAGCACTTCAATATTGTGAATGTATTAAATGCCATAGAATTGTTTACCTTAAAATGGTTAATTTTATGTTATGTGAATTTCACCTCACATTTTTTTCTAAAAATGTTTTATGGTTCTTACAATTAGGTTAGTCCTTATTTAAGATTAGAATTTGGAGCACAGAGGAATTAAGTGAAGTGCATTGTCTAATTTGGGATTGCCTGAGCAGAAACTTATAAAAACCTTTACTGACTAGGGCCACAAGTCTTTTTTTTCTAAGATGAGCTTTTACTTTGACTTTGCAAGGGAATGGGTCTTGTAAATCATGTCTTTACTCAAGACAATTTGAAGAAATTATATATTTCAAACCTTGGAATTGGACACACAAGATACGCCACTACAGGAAACTGTGAATTGGAAAATTGTCAGCCCTTTGTTGTTGAAACACTTCATGGGAAAATAGCTGTGGCACATAATGGCGAATTGGTAAATGCTGCTCAATTAAGGAAAAAGGTAAGTGTTTTTAATGCTTCTTATCATGATTGGGATAAATGAATGAAATGAAATTATTGGGGATCTTAGTGCAGGATATTTTCTAATTGTTGCCACCTGTTACTTACTGCAGAGGACAACTGTATTAGAATTACCTGGAGTACCTGTTATACTTGCAGATTCTAAGATATCACCCCAGAGTCTGGGGTGGGATGGTGGTCAGTCAGCATTTTAATATGCTTCTAAGATGATTCTGAGGTACTGCTTTAGGGTAGAGATTTGGAAAAGTTAATATATGGTTGTTGTTAGAAACAGAAGTTAGGGTTTATGGACTCTTCCTATCCCTTTAGCTTTTGTCCTTATGTTCAAAGCATAAGAAGAAAATAGAATATAAACTTGAAGATAACAAATATAAGAAAAAATGATTTGGAAACAATTACAGGAAACCACTTGGAGAAAGGGCAAAGAGAGTTTACTTAGGTTCTTCTTTGTTCGTAGCATGTCATTTGGAGCATTCTGTGTTAATTTGTGCCTATACCTTTATTCATCATCATTTCATCTTCCTTTTTTTAAAATTACTTGGTATATTTATATTCCTGATAGCTTAATTATCTGTTCTTGCCATTCATTTATTGATACCAAGTTTCTTCCATCCATTGGATTCTAATGATCTTGATCTGGTCATGTTGCAAATAAAAACCTCAGGTGGTATTCATTAACAGGATGGTTCTACACACAGTTATCTCCTTAGCATTCTAGAACCAGGCATTTTACATGGGATAATTAGTGACAAGGCAAATGATGGTGAATTTTGATGTGTGGAAAATATCTAGAACCATGCTTCCATACCACTCATTGTCCTTTTATTTTCAATTCTAGCTTTAGTTATTTCGCAGAGCTTTCTTCTGCCCTGTTCTTGGGCTCTAGTGTTATAATGATAATAAAATGTTTTTTTGCCCCCAAATGAAAAAATAATTTTTTAATTCATACAATCAGAAAAGTATAAATATGAAATAAAAATTAATGAAAAAAAAGCTCACCCACTTAGAGATAACCACCAAAAGTTCAATTCTGAACAATACCTAGCTCATTCTTTGTAGACATAATCCCTTACCCAGATGCTGGATTTCACTTCTACACATTTAGCTGCCTACTGAAAATGTTGTGTAGTATGAGTTTAAACTCAGCCTGTACATGTCAATGGTGATGTTCTTGTCCCGGTCAGTCTTGCTCAGAGCCTCGTAATCATCATGAGAGTGTTCAACCAATTTTTATTACATCTTCTACATTTAGTTGTTCAATATGGTTAATTCCCTTATTCTACTCTATCCGCGATGATCAGTGACGGTGGGTAGCCACCAGCACTACCACCAACAAACCTGGCTTGAGAGGTCCCACTGTAGTGCACCACTCTTAAGGGAATGTGTCCTCTTGGTCAGGATTGTCAAGGGCTGAAAATGTTAGCATCATAGTTCCAAAGTCTTGTGCCTTCTCTACTATCCCCCACCTTTATTGCAGGTCTACATTCCTTCAAACTTAGTTTTCAAAAGCTATTCTTTATGCTTCCTAGAACACTTTTTTTCTTGCTTAAAAACCTTCAGAGACTTCCCATTGCCTCTAGCAGTGCTTCTCCATTACTGTATACATGTCAATAGTGGAATGCAGGATTTTCTGATTTCTTTGTATAATGGTGGGCTGTTGGGTAAAGAAGGGTCAGGTGGAGCTTTCCCTCTAATGATTACACTTTTCTCCATTCTAAATAGCTTCTGCGGCACGGTATTGGTTTGTCAACAAGTTCTGATAGCGAAATGATTACCCAGTTACTGGCATATACCCCTCCTCAGGAACAAGATGGCACTCCAGATTGGGTAGCAAGGTAATTGTAAAACTAGGCTAAGCTCGTAGCTCTGGTAACAAGAGCTCTGTCTTGCATGTGTTTATAACTGAAGTTACTCATTCAATTATTTAATTAATTTCAGGATTAAAAACTTAATGAAGGAAGCACCCACAGCATACTCCCTGCTTATAATGCACAGAGATGTTATTTATGCAGTTCGAGATCCTTATGGAAATCGTCCTTTATGCATTGGACGTCTTATGCCTGTATCTGATATAAATGATAAAGGTAATGCACCTCAGAAGAAATGTAATTTTATAGTGTTTTTCCAAGTCATTGTCCTACTGTTGGCACACCCTCAAATCTTGAGACATAGGAAGCTTATAAGTGAGAAGGAACTAGGTAAAAAGAAGAAAAAAAGGCAATTTCTAAAGTACATTTCTTTGAGTATTTCTGAGGATGAACCATTTTTTAAGAATTTAATGGACATTCCTGTTTTGTCTGAATTGCCTTTGCCCAGCTTTTTCATTTGACTGTAGTATGATTTCAGTGATTTTCTTTTTGACTTATTAGATGTCTATTTGAGACATTGAAATCAGTTTTTGAAAGAATTTTGGTATCATTAGTTTTATCTTTGGCTCAAGTTGAAGATCGATGTGGTTTTCTTTTTCTTCTCAAATTTTTATTTAAGTTCTAGTTAGATTCATGTGCTCTTAATGTTGTAGAAATGGGAAAAAAAGTTGTAGAAATGGATTTTTAAAATGTATTTGGTGTTTAACTGTTCACTTGAAATAGGTAGCCTCTTGTAAAATTTCTTGAATCCATTAACTATATTGCCTTGTGATTTACAGAGAAAAAATCTTCAGAAATAGAAGGATGGGTGGTATCTTCAGAATCTTGTAGCTTTTTATCAATTGGTGCAAGGTAAGTTTTGTTTCACTCAGCATGTTCACTTTTTCCACATCCATAAAAAATTTTTTTAAATGAAAGTTTTCTTTCTGATGTCTGCAAGAAGACATATCTATAAATGCAGTTTCTTTTGTACATTGTGCTCAGCAGTTGCACTGACTTTAATGTTCCTGTAATACCTTCTAATTCTGAAACTGGCATCTTGTTTTCACAGTCCTATGAGACCTATTTTTAGAAAGCAAGAATCAAGAATCTCTTCAACAAGGGATAGTTATGATCAAAAAATGTAAGCCAGAATAAAAATGTTCTCTTTAGCCTCTATTCTTCCAAAACTCAGTAAAACTTAGGGCTTTTATTTTTTAAAATTCAAAATTAGAATTTAGGGGTAATAGATATACATATTAGATTTACTGCTGGAGGAATATTACTTTTTAATTTTTTAAGCCATCTCAAACTGAACCACACTTTATAAGGGCAGGGACTCTGTGTGTACTTTACAATAGATGTTATTATTGGTCTTAAGGACCGGTTTATTTAGTCTTCTTTCTTCAACATTGTTTCCCAAGATATTACCGTGAAGTCTTGCCTGGAGAAATCGTGGAAATAACCAAACGTAGTGTCCAAACTCTTGACATTATACCAAGGTCTGAAGGAAACCCGATGGCTTTTTGTATCTTTGAATATGTTTATTTTGCAAGACCAGATAGTATATTTGAAGGTAAATAAAATATCTTTAACTTTTTATATAAGTGTTGTATTTATCTCATCGAAACGTGGCAGTTCTTTTTTTTTTTTTTTAAAGATTTTATTTATTTATTTGACAGAGAGAGACACAGTGAGAAAGGGAACACAAGCAGGGGAAGTGGGAGAGGGAGAAGCAGGCTTCCCGCTGAGCAGGGAGCCCAATGCGGGGCTCGATTCCAGGACTCTGGGATCATGACCTGAGCCGAAGTCAGATGCTTAATGACTGAGCCAGCCAGGCGCCCCTGAAACGTGGCAGTTCTTGGTTCGAAAGCTTACCTGGCTCTTTAGAGGCACATTGCTTACATGTTGTGGATATGGGACTGAACCTACAAGTCATATGATCACTATTTTTCCCTTTCATTTGACTCCTGGATTTTGTTTTCCTTTTTAGGAGTAAGGATTATGATGTTCAGATGTGTATTAAGGCCAGGGGTTTTTTTTGAATAGTGAATTCCCCAGTTTATATATTTCCACTTTAGTTGTTTTATATATTTTACTTTACTTTTTATACTCCATGTATGGCATTCTAACAAGCTAATTTTCTTAGAATAATAATATCATGTTAAGTAAAAATAATCCATTTCCTTTTCCAAATCTTCCAGACCAAATGGTTTACACAGTAAGATATCGCTGTGGTCAGCAGCTCGCAATTGAAGCCCCTGTGGATGCAGATTTGGTTAGCACTGTTCCGGAATCTGCTACACCTGCTGCTCTCGGTTACGCAGGAAAGGTATTTTCTTTGGACATGCAGTGAAATGCTCTTGTAGCACTGAAATTAGAAATCCTTGTATATAAAGAGAAATTTATCAACACATTGTAAGGAAAAAGAAAATGCTGGGTCCTTTACAAGAGTTATTTTCCAGCCTTTTCATTCAATGGCACTATTTTAGTGGAGTCCACCCAAAGATTAGCAGAATGATCCTCTTCATTTAAAAAGATAACATCATGAATATATATAGAATTTAGTGGTAATATTTACTTATTCAAACCTATTTCTTGAAGTACCCTGGTATATTTGTTCCCTATTTAGTATGGGTGATAATAAAGCCATTTATGTTCATTTTGTGTAATGTTTTTAAATTTATTTATTTATTTATTTTAAGCAGGCTCCACGCCAAGCGCAGAGCCCAGTGCAAGGGTTCGAATTCACGACCCTGAGATCAAGACCTGAGCTGAGATCAGGGGCTGGTCGCTTAACCGACTGAGCCACCCAGGCTCCCCTTTTTTCTTAAGCTTTTTTTTAATGTAATATTTTTAGTACTATGCTTAATTGCATTTTTCATAACCAGGTAGATAATATAACTATAGTGATCCTGGGGTGTCCTACTCAGCATTCACTAGGTTGAAAAGTTTAGCGTATTAGTTTTTAAAAGAAATAATATACATACGTTTTAGGTTAGTATTACCTTGAAAGATGGATAAATCCCCGCCTGCCCCCTCAGAAAGTATATCCTTTGCGTACTGGTTTTAATTCATTTCTTGCTGATAATTTTTAATTGCTGTGAATTTTTCTGACAGTGATTTATTGCTATCATGTCTTCACACGCTTAGTGTTCCCTTCCAGGACAGAGAAATATTTGTTTAAAAAGCATTATAACTCCTGGCAAAATGAATTGGTTTTCCCACTGAGTATATTACTTTGAATGATATTTCTTTTTGCCTGTTTTCCCTACAATTTAAATAGTGAAGGAAAATTGTAATCTGTTAATGGAGAGTTCAGAATAGCAATTTCAGATGTTTGTATACATATAATGGAAGCATGACCTAGAGAAAATAGGAACTTAGGGTTCTCTATTGCTGCTCATTGTCCTTTTATTTCTTGTCTATCAGTGTGGGCTTCCATATGTGGAAGTGCTATGTAAAAACCGGTATGTAGGAAGAACCTTCATTCAGCCAAACATGAGGTTAAGACAACTTGGTGTTGCAAAAAAATTTGGAGTATTGTCGGACAACTTTAAAGGCAAAAGAATTGTTCTTGTAGATGATTCAATTGTAAGAGGCAATACCATTTCACCCATAATCAAATTGCTCAAAGAATCTGGTGCAAAAGAGGTAAGTAATATTAAAACATATCCTAAAGTACTGATAATTAACGACAGGATACTGGCATAAAAATTGCAATTTAGTACAGTGAATGAAAATGGATAGTTCAATATAATTGTCATCTTTCATATAAGTTGGTTTAGTAATAACTGTGCATTAACTTGGAAAACATGTATGTAATTTTAAAAACTAAAACCACAAAATAGAGTGCTTTTTAAATTTTTAGAGTATTTCTCTTTTTGAAGATGCAGAACAAATCCTATTATAAATTTGCCACATTGGGTTATATTTTTAAATCTCAGAGCTTATTCTAACTCTAAATATCTCAGTAATTCAAATTACAGAAGTGATTTTAAAAAATAAAAATTACAGAAGAGATGTAATTTACAACTAATAGTTGAATGGATTCAAAAATAAAGTCTCTTGTAGGAGAAAGTGGCATGGAAAGCAGTGGCAGTCTTTCTACAAAGCTTTAAAGGTAATTGTAATTATGATGGACGCCTAGGCAGTATGGTCATTTCAGAGCCTGACTCTTGGTTTCCATTCAGGTCATGATCTCAGGGTCATGAGATCAAGCTCGGCCTTGGGCTCCGTGCTCAGCATAGAGTCTGCTTGAGATCTCTCCCTCTCCTTCTGCCTCTTCTGCCCTGCGTGATTGTGTGTGTGCTCTCTCTCTCTAAAAAGTAAATAAATGAATAAAAAAAAAAAGTAATTGCAATTATGAGTTTCCAACTTTTTTATGACTGTAATTATGATTATGATAATCTCTTCAGATTTTTTTTTTTAAGAGTTTGTGAGTGTGTGAGGGGGTTGGGGCAGAGGGGGAGAGAGAGAGAGAATCTTAGGCAGGCTCCATGGGGAGCATGGAGCCTGAATCGGGGCTCAATCTCATGACCCTGAGGTCATGACCTGAGCCAAAATCAAGAGTTGGACTCCTAACTGACTGAGCCACCCAGGCGCCCCTTACACGATTATTCTTAAAATGCATGTCAAAATAATATGTGAAAATGATTTCTTTCCAAGGTACACATTAGAGTGGCTTCACCACCAATTAGATATCCATGCTTTATGGGAATAAACATACCAACAAAAGAAGAGCTTATTGCCAATAAACCTGAATTTGAACATCTTGCAAAATATCTGGGTAGGTATTAAAATTTCTATGAACTTTATTTATTAACAGAGAAAATCCAAAACTTGTCAGTCTTTACACTTGTAATAAAAAAAAAACAGTGTCCAGTATTTGTTAAAAATACATGTTGTATGACATGTTGAGCCTATATTGAACACTGTTCTGAATAATGAGAGTGCCTGGTGTATATAGACACCCTGGTAAGTGCTGTATTGGAGACCTAGGCCAAGGTGAGATCAGGTGGAAAGGAAGAAAGGCTTTCCAGGTAGAGGGAACTGCAGGCATATCAGTTAAAGCCTTACAAAGATCAGATCCCAAGAAAAACAAAAACAATTTTACCACAGATTCTAATAGAATAATTTGGATGTGGGTACAAATCGAAAAGTGAAAAGCTACTGTAGAGTTATCTTTAATAATGAAGTCAGCAGACTTGGAGATCTAGGTTATCCTGGATAAAACATTTGTTTTTCAAATTAGGTGAGATAAAGTATTTAAATATCACACAGATGTTTAGCCAGTGTACCTTGGTACCTCTACACTGCTTGATTATGGCTGGTGCTTCTTTTGACATGCCTGTGCCTTACCAGTTAAATATTTTGAGTATCACCCAATTGATATCTTATTGTGAACATTTACTCTTTGCCAGGAACATATGTATATTATTGTAATAATATCGCAGCTACTCTACAGTTAGGCCACGTTTCCCTTATCTTATAGATGAAACAAAGTGACCTTGAGCTTATATTTGAACCCGGATTTTCCTGACCTCAAAGTCTATTTTCGTTATCAAGAAAATTACTCCCGAAACTTATTGAATCCATTCTAGATTTGAAACCTCCACTGTTATTTTAAATTATATTCTCCCTTAAATTCCAATTTCATATTTTAAAAAATAATAAAGGCCCAGAGTTTTATTGCGTATTTCTTCCTTCCCCCTCCCCCCTTTTATTTTTTTTTTTTTAAAGATTTATTTATTTATTTGAGAGAGAGAATGAGAGATACAGAGCACATGAGAGGGAAGAGGGTCAGAGGGAGAAGCAGACTCCCTGCCGAGCAGGGAGCCCGATGTGGGACTCGATCCCGGGACTCCAGGATCATGACCTGAGCTGAAGGCAGTCGCTTAACCAACTGAGCCACCCAGGCGCCCCCCCTCCCCCTTTTAAAGAAGCTAAAGGAGGAATTTTTATCTTGGCTTGAGTTTTTCTGTTTGTAACTGTCATTTTTTGAGGCATTTCATCCTTTCCAAAGGAAGTGTAATGACCTTTTCCTTTTTCTTTCTTTCCTCCTTTAGGAGCAAACAGTGTTGTATATCTGTCAGTGGGAGGACTGGTTTCATCTGTACAAGAAGGGATAAAGTTTAAAAAACAGAAAGTGGAAAAGCAGGATATTATGATTCAAGAGAATGGGAATGGTCTGGAATGCTTTGAAAAGAATGGTCATTGTACAGCTTGTCTCACTGGAAAATACCCTGTGGAATTGGAATGGTAGCTGGTAGGGACAGATAAGAATTTTCAAGATATAAAGTTGGTCAAGTTTTAGTGGTGGTTAACATCCTATCCATTTACTGTTACTCCCTTGAAACGATGTAAAATGCCACACGCTTATGTTTACCTTTATAAGTTTTGAGAGTTCTGAAAAGAGTACCAAAGTGCTATGCTTTCCTTAACAATCCTAGATAAATATTTTGGTGTTATCTAGGAATTTGGATGATCCTTTCAGTTTTATTTAGTAGTTTAGTACTTTGAGGCTACCACTTCTGAGATCATATACATATAATTTCGCATCAGCAACAATAATGCAAAGAATAGGTAAATTTCTGTTTTAGTGAGGATTGTCAGGCACTATACCTTCCCACAGATTCTTACAGAATTTTGTGGAATGTTTCTTGAAAGTTATTGAAATTCAGTTGTGGAATATTTTCATAATTGAAGCCTTGCTAATCGTAAATAATACTACAACATTGGTGTTTCTTTTGTTTTTTGTTCTTTTTTTTTTTAATGCACAAGCATCAGCTAGCCTTTTTTTACCTCCTCAGAGAAGGTGGGGTAAGTGGCATTTGCCAGGTCCATGCTTTAAAGAGTTTGCAAGAGGTTAGACTAAGGTGGTGTGATGTAAACAGGACATGAGTTAAATATAACATTTCATGCAAACCTTGAATCCATTATATCCCAAAAGTGTCAGGCTCCTGGAGTTCTCAGTGTGGTTTTGACCTTGGCTTCCCTGTCTAACAAAACTTAAAACAAGAACAACAAGTACATACCTTTTTGTGCCTCACTTTTCCCGCCTGTGCAACGGGGTACTTATATTACAAGATTAAATAATTAATAGGAATGTGAAAAAGTGTCATACTTTTGGTGGTTAGAGCCATCATTTCACCCCTCAATTTTAAGATAGTGCATGATTATTAGTTTTTGAAATGTTGGCTGTTATTCTGAAATTGAGATTTCATTATGATGAAGGGAGACGGTTTAGCAGTGCTTTGCCACCTGTCTTTGAGATGTCTTAAAAATGATTCTAAAAACATGTCTGTGGAAGGTGCTTTCCTACATTTAATTATAAAGTACATTTGATTCATACTACTTAGTGCCCTTATAGTATAAACCCAGCAAGTAACCTAGTACATTTGAAGTAAAAAATTTTTAGATTCTAACAACCCTTTTATCCTTATTAATTATATTTTCTTTTAATGAACTGCTTGATCATTTGCAAACATATACACATATGTATGTATAAATATATATACATAGTTGCAATTAAGTGATCGAGTAGAAACATTGTAGGGGCCAATTTTGCTTAAGAATCAAGGTGACAACTATTTCGGAATTAGCATGCCCATCTAATTCTAAGCATCACCTTATCACTTTTTTCTACTTTATTTTATTGGGATTGAACAATTTTTTTAAAGTGTTTTCTTGTAACATCTGAGATTTAAAATATTAAGTTGACCTGTCCCCAACCCCTGTTTATGTAAGATTTTTTAAAACATAAAAGTGTTTGTTTCTGTGTTAAGTTACCTTAATTTGATGTATATAGTGTCCAAATCCATTTAGAAATTTAATATTTATTAATAACTGAAATCTTCTGTCTTCATTTGGTATATAGTCTCATATGTTATATTATGGCAGGCCAAGATAAAATCTTGACAGCTCTTTAAGCCCATGCGCAGCAGGCATCAGCAGGTCACATAACCTTGTGGCAGTGACATAAGCAAATTGGCATTTGAATAAAGCCCTGGGACCATTTGAGTATATAGCCTCTTGTCTTAAATGTATTCCTCATGTCAGCATGGAGGAGGCAAGACCTGTGGGTCAATTTTGAATTGGCCTCAGTTACATTTGATTTTTAAAAACAAGAGACTCAGGGAAAGTACTAAACCAAAATCTTTGATTTGACTTTTGTGTTTTCCATAGTTTTTGTCTCCCATTGTTTTTATTTTGTTTTACTGAGATGCTTTTATAAAGGATTAAGGTACTGTGAGAGTTTGGTAATTCTACAGATTTCTTAATGTTTCTCCATCATGACCTTTTATTTCCCAAGTTTCTGAAGTCTGAATTAAATTACGGTTTTATACATATACTCTCAAATATTGTTTAACTGCTTTAAATTAAAATAAGCAGAGTATTGAAAATCACAAAGATGAAAAATGTGTTTTCACAGGATCTATCTTGTTGTGAATTAAACTAAGCCTACTTTTTTGTGACTTCATTGTGATGCATTGGTGACAAATACATGTAATAAGTATGTTTAAATATGTGTGTGTGCTTTTTTTTAACAGTGACCTTTAGTTAGTGCATTATGATGAATAGCACAGGAATAGTCACATCCAGGCTCCCTTCTTCACACCAGCTAGTCAGATCTTATTTCTCTGATCCAGACATTGCAATAAATAGGCCATTGCTTAGGAACAGGAAAAAACTCCTGGCTGAGTAGAAAGGACACATAAAGTTATTTAAAATGTAATGCTAAGTAAGCACTATAAGAGTAGTAAGTTGTAAGTAGTAAGTAGTAAGTCTGCAGAAATACTAGTGGGAATGGGGAGTGTAACAGAAGAGGTGTCTTAGATTTCCAAAATGTGTGTGTGCATGTGTTTGTGGTTGGGGGAATTTTTTTTTAAATCAAATTAAAGTAGGTAAATCAATAAATTGTGATACATCCAGAGAATAGAATATTATTCAGTCCTAAAAAGAAATGAGCTATCAGGCCATGGAAAGACATGGAGGGAACTTAAATGCATATTACTGAGTGAAAGAAGCCAATCTGTTGAAAGAAGCTAATCTGTGAAAGCTACCTACTGTGTGAATCCGAAAAGGCAAAACTATGGAGACATCAGTGGTTGCCAGGGGTCGGTGGGAGAGGAAGGGATGAATAGGAGGGGCACAGAATTTTTAGGACAGTGAAACTACTCTGTGTGATACTATAATGGTGGATACAATGTCCTTATGTATTTGTTCCAACCCATAGTGTACATCACCAATAGTAAACCGTAATGTAAACTATAGACTTTGGGTGATAATGATGTGTCCATGTAGGTTTATCATTTGAAACAAATGTACTGTCCTGGTGGGGGATGTTGATAGTGGAGGAGGCTATGCATGTGTAGGGACAGGGGGTTTGTGAGAACTCTGTATTCTGCTCAATTTTGCTGTGAACTAAAACTGCTCTAAAATATAGTCTATTTTAAAAATAAACATACCAAGTCCCACCTCTAAACAAAAAATAAAATAATATATGCATATATGTTATTGCCTCTGAAAATCTTGCCCCAGGGCATCACATCTCATGCCTTCTTTCTTTGGATTTCAAATAGAGCTTAGTCAACTCCTAAGGAAAGTTGCCTTCTTGTTTAAGTCAAAATGAAAATCCAAGCCTCTCAGGAAAAGCCACATGCCCCTTAGACATTTTAGACTAAGCTATAGTATGCAATGTAAACTCATCTTTTGTGTGTGCATAAATTTTCTTCTTATGTAGCTGAGAAGTTGTTAGATGGCAGGAACCAGTGCTTTTAACTTTTTTGGAAGTTCTCAAGATCTACCATAATACTGAACTCCTTGCACTGTGACTAAATGGAAAATGACTGCACAAAAGAGGCCCACAGGGGTCCTGTACTCTTCCTCAGCCTTTGAATTTGCTTCATTGAAAATTGTTTGGCTTCACTATTGACATTCTGATGGATATCTTCAGTGGGATGATTAATTTTGTGTTAACTTGGCTAGGCTGTGGTGCTCAGTTGTTTGTTCAAACACCAGTCTAGATGTGGTGAAGTTATTTTCTAGATTTGATTAACATTTAAATCAGTAGACTTAAAAAAAAATTGATTTTAGAGCGTGAGTAGAGGGAGGGGCAGAGGGAGAGGGAGACTCTCAAGCAGACTCCCTGCTGAGCATAGAGCCCCACGCGATGCGGGGCTCAGTGCACGTGGGGCTCGATTCCATGACCTGAGCCGAAATAAGAGTCGGACACTTAACAGACTGAGCCACCCAGGTGCCCCATCAGTAGACTTTGAATAAAGCAGATTACTCTCCATAACGTGAGGGGGCCTCATCCAGTCAGTTGCAGGTCTTAAGAATAAAGATGGAGGTTTCCTGAAGATAGAATTTTCAAAACCCTGCCACAGTTTCCAGCCTGCTGGCCTGCTCTATAGATTTCAAATTTGACAGTCCTCACAATTGTGTGAGCCAATTTCTTAAAATACATGTATCTCTTTCTTTCAAACATATACTTTTATATATTTTATGTGGTATGTGTATGTTTATATGTGTTTTTGTTCCTCTGCAGAACTTTAATACAACAGACTCCCTCTTACGAACAATGGGAGCTTCTTCATCCCTCCATTCTTTCCTAGCCATCTGACAAAACGAGCCTGAGTGAACCCAACCACTAATATTCTCCACCTTCAACTGGGCAGCTGAGCACTGTTAAGATGAAATCATATAACACACTATTATCCCAACTGTGATGCTGCAAAGCACACAACAGGGAGCTAGCCTTGTCTTCAGGGTAGTATGATACTGTGATTTATAATAAGATATATATTTGGTCTTTATCCTATTTCTAGCACAGATACCCTAAAGTCCTTGAGATTTCCTAAGTGATAAGAGCAATAAAGGTATTTTTTTTTAAATAACAGTGTAGTCAACATACAGTGCTATATTAGTTTCAGGAGTACAATATAGTGATTCAACAGTTCCATATATAACTCAGTGCTCATCAAGGTAAGTGTACTCTTAATCCCCATCACTATTTAACCAATCCCTCATCCACCCACCTCCCCTCTGGTAACCATTTGTTTGTTCTCTATGGTTGAGTGCTTTTTGGTTTGCCTCTAATAAAGGTGTCAATATTCATAACAAATTCCTTTCAGCCACACCTGTGTTTATGTTAATGAGGTGACTTTCTGAAAACACCTAAGAATAAGGACTCTTTTCCAGGGGAACTGACCATGTGATTAGAGGGTTGAACTTTCAGCCCCACCTCCTTGACTTTCAGGGAGGGGAGAGGGCAGGTTAAATCAACAGGTAATGGCCAGTGATTTAATCAATTGTGCCCTCATAATTAAGCCTCTATAAAAACCCAGAAGGACACGGGGTCTGGAGAACTTCCTGGCTGGTGACATGGAGATGCGGGGGTGAGTGGTATGTTTGGAGAGCATGGTAGCTCCATGCTCCCTTTCCACATACCTTGTCCTCTGCGTTTCTTCCAACTGGCTGTTCCTGAGTTAATTGCGTGATGGATGGAAAACCCACACACTGGAGGTAGGGTCAAGGATACTCAAAATTGTTTTTGAAATCATCTATTTTTAAAAGAAACAACATTGGCAACTGAGATGAGGTGTGGAGGATTAGGTGAAAAGAAGTGAAATTCGAATGCATCAATAAATGCAAAGGATCAGCGAGGTTCTGGAATAGGCACTGAAACTTCTCAGGGATTAATGTAGTGGATGGGAGAAGAGTAAAAAGATAGTTGGGGAAACAGGTGC